CCCCCCCCCCCCACGAGCTCAGGCTGCACTCGCGGTAAATATTTACCGAGCGCCAGCTAGGTGTCCGGCCCCGTAACCCGGCTGCCCCCCCCCATCCGCGCACCTGCCCCAGGCGACGTGCCCAGTCCCGCGTTCATCCGCGGTGCGGCCCGCCCCTCCCGCCGGGGCCGGAGTCTACCCGCCGACAGGCCCCAGGGCGGGACCTCACGCGCGTGTTGCTCACCTGGGAGGACACCTGGGTGTCGGCTTCCCACGTGCCCCCGGCGAGAGTCCCCGTCCCTCCTCAAGCTCCCCGTAGAGTCCACGCTCCATGAGGGCAGGCAGCTTTGTTTTGTTCCATCTTATTGCCAGCGCCTGGCACACCTAGCACTTATTGTCGATCAACGTGTGGGCCGGGCGCGGTGGCTCACGCCTATAACCCCAGCACTTTGGGCAGCCGAGGCGAAAGCATCGCTTGAACCTAGCGGTTCGAGACCAGCCTAGGCAACGTAGTGAGATCTCGTCTCTACAAAAAAGTAAAATAAAGTAAAAACCCACAGTTTGTAGAGCGAGTGAAATCACTCACTGTTCAGTGAAGGAGCCGAACTTCTGAAGAGATCAGGGGTTAGAGAGGGGAGGGGTGATGGTAGCGCTTTAAGGAGGGTGGTCCAGGATGGCTCCCTGGAGGAGACGGCTTTGGGCGGATTCCCTGGTTTCTCTGACTGCCGGGACTGTGTGCGAACGTGTGGGGTCCCACGTCGCGCTGCTCGGGCCGGGCAGGTTCGGGCTCGCTGAGCCGAGTCTGGCGGAGCCACGTCGGCTCCTGCCCTGCCTTGCGTCTAGGGCTGGAGCCAGCCGTGTGCAGAAGGACGGGAGGAAATTCTGGGCACGAATAGGACGCGTAGCCCTCTGTCCCTGGTTTGGCGCTGTCCCCAACATCCTCACGTCAGGTCATGACCCCATCACTCTTCGACCCGTGTGTTTGTACGTTCGGGGATCGTTGATCAGCCCTAACGGAGCGGCCCTGGACGCTGGGTGTAGTGATGGGCCCCAAGAGTGTAAGTAGTGAGTCTAAAAGCCCGGCGCAGTGGCTCACGCTCATAATCCCAGCACTTTGGGAGGCCGAGGTGAGAAGACTGTCTGAGCCCATGGGTTCGAGACCAGCCTGGGCAAATTGGCGAGACCTCATCTCTACAATAAAATGAGCTGGGTGTGGTGGCGCGTGCCTGTAGTTCCAACTACTTGGAGGTCGCCGGAGCCCAGCAGGTTGAGGC